GGTTTTCGATTGTGTGTATCATGACAAGCTATGGACAACATTGCGAAGTATGAGTATTCAGGAACACTTAATTGTGCTCATGGGGAATCTGTACCTGGACCAAGAGGCAGTTGCTCAAACAAAACATGGGAACACTGAATTGTTTAAAAGGTAATTCAGCACAAAGCAAAAGTATAGAAAAGTACTTTGTTATGTTTGATGGGTTTGGACTGGAAAGAGGGAAGATAGTCAAATTAGGAAGAATATCTTGCACCTGTTCCCCCATGCACACTCCCATCTCCCATCAGGTGACCTGCCAGGAATAACAGTCTCCTCCCTTATCACCTGTCCACTTGCTGACAGGTAGCATTTTCATGGGTAGTCCTAACCCCTGCTCTCCTCCCAAACTGGGTGGAGCCTGTATTCCTCTCCATAACTCCCCAAGGAGTGGAGCCTGTATTCCTCTCCATAACTCCCCAAGGAGTGGAGCCTGTCTTCCTCTCCATAACTCCATAACTCCACAACATTCTGGAACACTTAATTACGCTCATGAGGAATCTGTACATGGACCAAGAGGAAGTTGTTTGAACAGACCACGAGAACACTGAATGGTTTAAAATTAAGAAAGGTGTGTGTCAAGGTTGTATACTTTCACAATACTTATTCAACCTGTATGCTGAGCAAATAATCCAAGAAGCTGGGTTATATGAAGAAAAATGTGGCATCAGGATTGGAGGAAGACTCATTAACCTACGATATGCAGATGAAACAACCTTGCTTGCTGAAAGTGAAGAGGACTTAACACATTTACTGATGAAGATCCAAGAGCACAGCCTTCAGTATGGATTACATCTCAATGTCAAGAAAACAAAAATCCTTACCACTGGACCAATAAACAACATTCTTATCAATGGAGAAAAGATTGAAGTTGTCAAGGACTTCATTCTACTTACATCAACTATCAACACTCATGGAAACAGAAGTCAAGAAATCAAACAACATATTGCATTAGGCAAATCTGCTGCACAAGACCTTTTTAAAGTGTTGAAGAGCAAAGATGTCAGTTTGAGGACTAAGGTGCACCTGACCCAAGCCATGGTATTTTCAATAACCTCGTATGCATGTGAAAGTTGGACAGTGATAAGGAAGACCATAGAAGAATTGATGCATTTGAGTTATGGTGTTGGAGGAGAATATTGAAAGTGCCATGGGCTACCAATAGAAACATCAGATCTGTGTTGGAAGAAGTGCAGCCAGAGTGCTCCTTGGAGGCCAAGATGGCCAAACTTCGTCTCTTATACTTTGGACATATTGTCAGGAGGGACCAGTCACTGGAGAAGGATATCATGTTCGGTAAGGTGGAGGGTCAGAGAAAAAGAGGAAGACCACCAACAAGATGGATTGGCCAAGTGGCAGCATCGATGGACTCAAGTGTGGCAACAGTAGTGAGGTTGGCCCAGGATCAGGCAGTATTTCGTTCTGCTGTGCATAAGGTCGCGATGAGTTGGTACCAACTCGATGGCACCTAACAACAACAATTGTAGATGCTTCTGAAGATAAAATGAACTGACAACATACTCAGAACAGCAACTGACATACACTATGGGCTTCATAACTGACTAGGACTTGGTGGCGCTGTGGGTTAATGCGCTGGACTGCAATGTCAGTTTGGAACTCAACGTCAGTGGTTGAAGCTCACCAGCCACTCCTTGGAAACCATATACAGGGTTGCTATGGGTCAGAGTGGACTAGACGGCACTTAATAACAATAACAACAACAACAACAAAGGACTATTATGTGGTATCAAGTGAAAACACTAATTGTGGAATTTTCTGTGCAATATATTCTCATTGGACTCCTGGTGTGGCCCTGTAGGATCAGCCCTGGATTGTGAACCACAAGGTCGACAGTTCAAACCCACCAGCTGTTCCTCAGAAACCCTATACAGGGTCACTATAAGTCAGAACCGACTTGACGGCACTTAACATAACATATCATATTCTTATATATACACACTATGATTAGCATATGGATGGATAATTTGTTCTAATATAAGGAAGTAATACTACTTTCATGATATTTAAATTTTTTAAAAGATAAAATACCAGTCAGGCCTGTTTTTCATCGTTCACTGTGATATCTCAGTTATAGCATAAATAGTCTTGGCTTCTGGGGCCGTTTGTCTTCAAGGGATAGGGAGCCTCTGCCCTCAAGATGGTCTGGCTCAGGGGAAAACATGTGGGTCAGTGTGTGTGTGTGTGT